TGTAGATCATGAAATCATCAGGCATGAGATAGGCAGTCTGTGCCATCATCAAATTATAGGATGGGGAGTCTGCTGGGAGTTCCAGAAAGAGGCTTTGGATCCATCCACATTTAGTACTAGCATCCCATTTACAAAGTGGATCTCCTCCCATCAAATGCACCAGAGTGGAAAAAATACTAAGTTAGCAGAAAAGAGTGTTGATTAAAGTGAAGACAAAGACAAAGGGAGAGACTGAAAGGTATTTGAAATCTCTACCTCTGAGACAGTTTGGTTGTTCCTAGGAAGGGATGATAGAAACATAGAATTTATGGTAGATAGTGTAGCCTCAATATCCGTTAGTTAGGAAAACTTCAATTTCTACAAGTGCATGAAAAGTTCTCTTTTTTTGTGTGTTAAATGCAGGTATAGATTGACCAGAGCAGCTACTTTCACAGAAAGAGGCTCTTGTGTCAATGTTTGTCCTTTTCCTTTTTTGAATCTTTCTAGCTAAAGTAGAGCAAATGTTCTTCCAATGTCCCTTTTCCTTACAATAATGACAGTTGTCTTTGTGTAGACTAGACATAGATATGTCCTTGTTCTTGGCTTTATTTAATTGCTTAATCTGAAAAGCTATTAATTTGATCTATTTTTTTTTCTTTTTTCTGAGCCGAAGTATCTTCCAGGTACTCAGCAAGTTCGTATAATTTAGAGAGAAGACATAGTCTACTATCCTATCTTCTGATTTCTGAGAAATTTATGAAATCTTGACTTACATTGAGAACAGAGTATTCCTAGTGGTAGCTAAGTGGTCTCTGAAACTAGGCATGGAATTATGTTTCCCCTGTTGATGAAACTGGACTTTTTTTTATTGTGGTAAAGTATACAGAACAAAATTTATAATTTTAACCATTTTTAGGTGCATAGTTCAGAAGCATTGAATACATTTGCATGATTGTGCAATCATCACCACCACCATTTCCAGAACACTTTTATCTTCCCAAACTGAAACTCTGTAGCCATTAAACATTAACTCCCTATTGTCCCTTTCCCCTAGCCCCTGACAACCACCATTCTATTTTCTGTCACTATGAATTTGACTACTCTAGGTACCTCATAAGTAGAATCATATAATACTTATCATTTTGTGACAGGTTTCTTTCACTTAATATATTTTCAGATTTCATCTATGTTCTAACATGTGTCAGAATTTCTTTCATCTTTTAGACTGAATAACATTCCATAGTGTGTATATACCACATTTTGTTTGTCCATTCATCTACTGATGAATATTTGGATTGTTTCCACCTTATGACTATTGTTAATAATACTGCTATGAACATTTGGTGTACAAATATCTGTTTGAGTCCTGCTTTGCATTTTTTTTTTAGCTTTATATTCAGAAGTGAAATTCCTGGATCATATGGAAATTCTATGTGAAATTTTTTGAGGAAATGCCATAGTGTTTTTCACAGGAGTTGCACTATATTATATTCCCAACAGTGATGTGCAAGTTTATTATGTGCAAAAGTCCCAGTTTCTCTAATTCCTTGCTAACATATTCTTTTCTGTTGGTTTACTTATAATAGCCATTCTTCTGACTATGAAGTGGTATCTCATAGTGATTTTGATATGCATCTTCTTAATAATTAGCAATATTCAACATCTTTCCATATGATTAGTGGCCATCTGTATATCTTCTTTGGAGAAATATCTATATGAGTCTTTTAGCCCTTTTTTAACGGGTTGTTTATGTTTTCATTGTTGAGTTGTAGGAGTCCTTTAGAAATTTTGGATATTAGTCCCTTATCAGTTATATAATTTACAAATATTTTCTCCCATGGTTTGCCTTTTTATACAGTCAACAGTGTCTTCTAATGCATAACACTTTTAAATTTTGATGAGGTGCAATACATCTATTTTTCTTTTGTTATCTTGTACTTTTGATGTTATAACCAATAAATTATTGCCAAATCCAATGTCATGAAGATTTCTCCTTATGTTTCTTCTAAGAACTTTATAGTTTTAGCTTTTACATTTAGGTCTTTGGTCCATGTTGAATTAATTTTTATATATGGTATAAGGTAAGGGTTCAACTTCATTCTTTTGCATGTGGATATTTACTTTTCCCAGCACCATTTGTTGAAAAGATGGTTCTTTCATCATTGAATGGTCTCGACACCCTTGTTGAAAACCATTTGGTCATTTTTGTAAAGTTTCATCTCTGGGCTTTCTATTCTATTCCATTGGTCTATATGTCTGTCTTTGTACCAGGACCACACTTTTGATTATTAATTGTATCTTTGTAATACTGTTTGTATCTTTGAAGTAAATTTTGAAATCAGGAAGTGTGAGACCTCCACCTTTGTTCAACAATTTTTCAAGATTGTTTTGGGGTCCCTTGAGATTCCATTGCAACTTGGGGATAGATTTTCTATTTATGCAAAAAATATTGTTGGGATTTTGATAGAGATTGCATTGAATTGTAGATCGCTTTGGGTAGTATTGACATTTTTACAATATCATCTTCTGATCCATGAACACGGGATGTCCAGTTTGTGTCTTCTTTAATTTCTTTCATCAAAAGTGTTCAAATCTTCCACCTTCTTGGTTAAGCTTATTCTTGAGTATTTTTTAAACTATTGTAAATGGGATTGCTTTTTCAAAAAATTTCCTCTTCAGACTGTTCATGCTTAGGGTATAGAAACACAACTAATTTTTACATGTTGGTTTTGTATTCTGCAACTTTGCTAAATTCTTTTATTAGTTTTAACGGGGTTTTTTTGTGGGATCTTTAGGGTTTTCTACATATAAGATTACATTCCTATTAACAGAGATAATTTTACTTCTTCCTTTTCAGTTGCGATGTTCTTCATTTCTTTTTCTTATGTAATTGCTCTGGCTATAAATTCCAATATTATGTTGAATACAAGTGGCAAAAGCTGACAGCCTTGTCTTCCTGATCTTAGGGGGAAAGCTTTTACTATTGATTATAATGTTAGCTGTGGGTTTTTCATACATGCCCTTTATTGTGTTGTGGTAATTTCCTTCTATTCTTAGTTTATTGAATGTTTTTATAATGGAATGGTATTGAATTTTGTCAAGTGTTTTTTCTACATCATTTGAGGTAATCACGTGTTTTTCTTTGTTCATTCTGTTAATATGGTATATCAAACTCACTTTCATATGTTGAATCATCTTTGCATGCTTTCCAGGAATAAATCCCACTTGGTTATGTTGTATAATCATTTAAATGTGCTCTTGAATTCCGTTTGCTAGCATTTTCTTGAGGATTTTTACATCAATTTTCATAAGGGATATTGTTCTGTAGTTTTTGTTCTGTTTTTTCTTAAAGTGTCTTGTCTGGTTTTGGTATCAGGGCAAAGCTGGCCTCATAAATTTTGTTAGGAAATATCTCAGTTTTTTAGAAGAGCTTGAGAAGGATTAGTACCAGTTCTTTAAATGTTTGGTAAAACTCACCAGTGAAGCCATCTTGTCCAGAGTTTTTCTTCATTGGGAGGTTTCTAATAAGTGATTCAATCTCATTAATAGTTATAGATCTATTCAAAATTTCTATTTTTTCATGATTCAGTCTTTTAGGCTGTGTGTTTCTAGTAATTTGTACATTTCATCTACTAGGATGGATTTTTGACCAATGAATATGGACAAGAAAGACTTCAAGAATACCTGCTAAGAGTTCTTGTCTTATTTTTTATATTCTTTACATATCTATCTATAGATAAATATTGCCCCATATTTTTAATATCATTTTGGTAGGTAATTCATCTTGCTTTTACTAACCAAGTTTTGGCATATCTCGACCTCACACATAGATAAACTAATTGATAGAGATCAGGAAGTCCAGGACTAAAAATTCCTGAGGCAATCCTAAATTTTTTAGTGAACCTGAGCCTTCCTTTTCTTAAGAAGGTTTGGCAAGTCATTAACTAGATTATGTAAATCTTACCTGGACCATGGTTTAGAACTATAAGACCTGCCAGAGGTTGATCAATATACTCACAGACCTTATAAGATAAAATGAAGGAATATTGTCCTGGGAGAAAGATATATTTTAAAGGGGGAAGTGAAGAGAAGAGGGTCTGTTGAAGATGGAGGACAAAGAAGAGTAAAGCAAGAGGGAGGAGAGAGTCCAGATTCGAGGGTTCAGAAAGGAAGTCAACTGAGAGTTGGTCATGAGCTAGAGAGGAGAAGTGCAGTTTTAATTTTAGATACACAAAGTTGTTAGTAGTCCTTTCCAAAGTATCCTTAAAAGATGAAATTTAATTTTTTTTGTCCTTTAGAATTGTCCTGTCTTATAGACCATCTTCATACCCCCCCTAAAATGCTGCTTATTGATATTTATAAAATTTAAACTCTTTGATACCAGAGCACCAGGCAAAAGACTATCTTATTCTTGTTTCAAGTTTCCCAGAGCATCATGTAAAGGGGGAGTGTGGGTGCAACTACATTAGTGAAATTCAGTGTCTTCCACAGCCCAGCAAAGTACTAATGTGCTGACTTGAATATAGTATTTTTACCTCTCTTTTAATTGACCTTCACATTGAAAGTATTTTGTTTACTTAAATGACTATAATTTGGTTAAAAAATATAATCTAGGCAATGCAAGTTTTATGTCAATTTCTAAATCCACCCCACTTTCCAAAAAAAAAAAAAAAATACACTACATAGATAGAAAAGTATTTGTAGGCAAACTTTTTTGTAATGCTACTTAATCATGTTACCAGACCTAATGTGCTCATTTCTTAGGGGTGAGAGAGGAAATAGGCAACATAACATTACCTCTATGTTACCACATATGTATGTGAGTAAACATATTTTTATACATCTTTAATGCAAAAAGTTTAATGTTGTATTGAAATTTTGCAACTCCAAAATGACAGCATTCTTTCTAGTAATTCTGTGAACCAGTTGGCATCTGCAAGATGATTGTGATAAAATTTCATTGTGAGTCAAAGCATATTTTTTTAACTCATGCAATGATTGTTATTGTCCTAAATTGACAGGTGAAGTATGTTGTCCAGATGAACAGCACAATCGGGTTTCCACTGGCATCGGTGACTCCTGCTGTGGCAGAATGCCTTACTCCACCTCAGGAAACCAGATTTGCTGTGCTGGGAGGCTTCATGATGGCCATGGCCAGCAGTGCTGTGGTGGACAGATTGTGAGCAAAGATTTAGAATGCTGTGGTGGAGAGGAAGAGGGCATGGCATACAGTCGCCTTCCAGGTAAGGAGCCCTTGTCTACTTTTCATTGGTTGGAGAATATGAGAAACAGGAAGGTTGAGAAACTTGCCCTAGGTATAAAGCAAATAAGGAATTAAAGCTTATGTTAATTATATCTAATGCAAAATTTAAGTACATATTGTATCACAAATAAAAATGTAATTTCATATTTTTTATGTTCATGTGATGCATTTCATTAAAATGGATCAAAACTCTTTCCTCTTGAAAAGTATCATACCCACCATAAACAAAAACAAAACACACATGAATGCATTAGTTCTGGATCAAGAGAATATTTCCTAGCAAATTTCCTCGCAGATGCTAACGGTACACAAAATTATTATTGATGACATTATGTCAATTCTTTTGCTCTGTTATTCTTTTATAGCTATTAAATTAATACTAATTTTAAGAGCAATCATTATCATTGATAGAGTACTTACTATCAACCAAGTACTATGCCCAATGTCTTACACATTGTTACCTCAATTAGTCTTTTTTTTCAGTTAATCTTTATAACTATCTTACTAGATAGGTTCTATTGTTGTCTACATTTTAAAAATGAGGAGGCTGAGGCACAGAGGTTAGACAGTGTCCAAGATCACATTGTAGTCAGATGCAAATTTTGGGGGTGCCTGGAAGTTATACAATTTGGGGGACCCTCTTTAAGGAAAGAAAATTAAATGATTAAGATAAGACAAAATATAAAAATAATATTTACTTAGAAGGGGAAAATAAATTATAAAAATTACAAATCAAAAAAAGGAAACTTAGCAAATCCCACTAACATAAAAATAGTATGTTTGGATTCTATAACTTCTGATATCCGTCTTTTCTCCCCCTGACATGTTTAACTTATATCCTTGATCACATCTTCATGGGACAATGGCTTTGTACCATTTATCTCTAGAAAGATAATTCATTCTTTCCTGTCACATGATTAATCAAAACATTTTTAATTATTTCAAGTTTTAAAAAGTGGCTTTAAGCTTCAAAATTTATTATTGTAATATTATGTAAATGTTTAGGATTAGTGTCAATTTCGGAGAAATACCTACCCAGGATCTTTCTAAGATTTAAGGGTATTTTAAGTTTTCTTGTCTTAAGGTGATTTGCAGTGACTTGTCTTAAGTATTTGTTGAATTGACAACATCATTAAGCAGAGTTTCATGGATATTCTTATTATATGATTGAATTTGAGTGGTATGTTATCATGATGTCACTACACATCTACACATCAGCAAAAGTATAAATTTTTCCAATATATTTATGAGTTACCTCTCTTCATAATTTGTAATAATTTATGCTTCAACCCTACATCCATCATTTTCTTTTAATAGTTTACTACCTTTGTTATAATCTAAAGTTTATTTTGTTATAATTCTCTTCCAGATGTCAGATATTTCAGTTGATTCTGTTGTTCAGTTTTATAGCTTTTGTTTCATATTCCATTAATTTTTTGTCTGATCTTTCTCTTTCTTTAAAGCTTCCCTTTACATGCATCCAAATTAGGAGTCTGTAATTTCTCATATCCTTATCTCTCTAAACTGCAGTTAAAATGGCCTATTCAAACCTAAATGACTTTTTTTATAGAAGTGACAGAAGTCATATAAACATAGCTACTGAACCCAAACTAAATATTTTCCCAAATCAACTTCCCCTTAGTTAGATTTAAAAAATGTACATGGTCACTCTTCTATTTTAATCAATACAAGGACACATAAGACAGAAGGTAAGTTAAAGGGGCAAGAGACAGAGGCCATAACAAATTGTAGTTAAATATTATACATTTGCTAATTTTATAAAAATATGTAACTGTGCCTACCTTGGAAGGGGCTCATATAAGCAAAGGGCCCTGAAACTCAAGCTCATCAGCTTCAGGATAAATCTGCTTGTGCAACTAGCAAGTGTTAGAACTCCAGCCCTTCTCTGAGCATGATTTCAGGACGTCATCTGCATCTTGATGCAGATGAACTATGAATTCCCTATTGTTTTTCTATAATTTCTTCTTTTTAAAAAAAAACCATCAGTGTTACCCATAATATCAGTAATTGTAATTTAAGTTATTGTAGTATTATTGTTAAATACCATATTTTTGTACATATTCTCTTCTGTGTAAAGTTCTGATGAAAATTGCTAACACTTCAAGAACAAAACTAATCAATCAAAACAATTTTAAAAGTATCAATCCTTGGGGTACCTGACTCTTGTGCCTTAACAAGAATACTAAACTCTCAGTATTTTCATAGCCCTTAAATAAGTAAATATGTTTAATTATATTATTCACAACTAAATTTCAGTACTCCCAGTATGGGAAAGATTTTTCTCCTCCTTTGAGCCAAAAAATACCTGATTTCTAGTTTTTCATTTTATCTTTGGACAATCATCAAGTGTGTTTCCAAGGCATTTACTACTCTATGAAGTTATAAATCACCCATCTGGATCCACACTATATCGATCTCTGCATTCTTTTTTAATCCAACCCAGTGGGACATATTTAGAGGAAGATTTTAATATATATATTGTCAAGCTGTTTTATAGTCCCATGTCATTTTGTGATCTGTATCAACTGTCCAGAAAATAGTGATGATGGATAGTTGTCCTATATGCAACAGAATTAGGTTACAATTAGGACACTTCAATTCACCCCCAAAATTTAAGGATTACCTCCAATACGTGGCACAGGACACCTGGATCTTCAGTATAAGGTAGCAAGAAAGTTGACTTTGCCAGGTAAAACCAAGAAACAAAAACAAAAACTAACTTGGCTCGATCTTTGAAAATGAATGATGCATTAAATCATATGATACACAAGAGTTCAGTGTAGACACATAGTCCTTTCAGAAATTTTCCCCATGAATTGTAGGCCTAAGAAGTTAGTGTCCTAAAGATAACTGAAGTCCAGTCAAGGAATCCAGCCTGGTCAAGTGTCTCCTAGACACTGCTTATTGACTAAAAGATATACACAATGGTCACAAGATACAACTATGATGAAAAGTAAACAACATTCTATGTTCACTATTCACGAAGCAGAGTTCTACGTGCTTCATATACATCAACACATTTATAACACACTTAAACCTCACAACAACCCTATGAGGTAAGTACTAGTCTTCTCTCCATTTTCAAGATGAGGAAACAGAAGCACTTCTCACAAAAGTGAGAAACTGCCCCCAGATCACATAGCTAGCAAATGGCTGCATCACTTTAGGTAACATTAATTGCTATTTATTATAAATGAACCCCCCAATTTGTAAAGGCTCAAATACAACCGGGGTTCACTTTTTCTTATCTGATAGCACCGACGTACGAACCTTCTGTAGGTCAGCTCTCTTTCCTACTTATGAGCTACCGTTGAACTGCCAGATTCTTTGGTCACCTGGGAGTTGTACCCATTTCTGCAGCCAGAAGGGGAAAAGAGCATGGAATAACGTGTGTGTGAGTTTTTTATTTGCCAGGTCTAGGAATAGCAAATATTTTAATTAACATTTCATTGACTAGAACTAAATGCAAGGGAGGCTGGGAGATTTGCCTGTGAATCTTGCTACTGTGGCTAAGAAGGGTTTCTAATTCCATCTAAATGGAGACAAAGTCCATGCTCTTAAATTCTTTGATCATTCTGATAGTTGGACAGGCATTGCATACTCTCCAACCCAAGCCATATCAATGTTTGTCAGGTCTGCTGAGCAGGGCCAGTATAATAAACTATCAAGTTGTAAACATTTTCTGGAAGATTGGAAAAAAAGAAGCATTATCAACTCTGCCCTCTGACTGCACACCTAATGTATGCCAAAGTGAGAAGACAGGGTACTACGTAGGAGTGCTGAGCCCTGAGACAGTGACTTATAAAGAATAATCTGGGACTTTTAAGGGTCTGACTCTTTGCAGAAAGACATTTGCTGGTGGTCTGTGAGATCAAAATGGCTTTCATAATAATACTAACCTATTATATGCCTTTTTCAATCTCATTCTCTCATGAGTATACAGTGGAGTTTCTCAGAGGTTACATGGCATGTGATATTGCAACAGTTGAATGCAGAAGCAGGTATGAGAAGTTAATTCCTTCTAGTAAGCCAGACATTAGAGAGGCTTGCAAAAATGCAAAACAGTGTCATTCTTCCCACTCACTTTTCTCAGTTTGGAAAATGCATTTATTTTTCATAAATATTTATGTTAACATGTTATATATTTATTATTTTAAATGAATTAATAAGTACAAAAGTCAAAAATTTTTGTTTTAGGCTCTAACCCAGTATTTATCAACAGATATAACCAACATAAACAAAAGTTATTTGGAGTCCTCAATTATTTGTAAAAGTGTAAAGGGTCCTGAGACCAAACTTCACGCATCACTGCTTTAATGCATGGTTATCATGTGTACTAGAAAATCATGGCACTTAGTTAGTTACCCTGTGCTATGATTAACCAGTTGAGTATCTCCTCTTCTAGATGAGTAGCTAAAAATATGTCCCTTAAAGACAGAACAATGGATGCCAGGTCTGGGAGATGCAAAAGCATTGCCCCCTCCATACCATAATGAGTCAGAGTTTTAACATAACAGCAAAAATGTCTCATTTTAGCATCTGTTCATTTGTCCCTTTTTTTAGTCAATGGCCGTATTCCTTCATTTGATAAAAATGTATTATGTAGTGACTGTGCTCAATACAGTATTCTTGGTGCTTTGTGATTATAAAAATGGCTGATTCCATTTTTATCCTTAAGGACTTATAATCTAATTAAGGAGGAAAGTACCTATAAGGTTAAACACAATCCATAAGAGAGGGATGAACAAAGTATATTCTTAAGACTGAGAGATCACTCCAGGCAAGGTGATGGAAAAAGCTAAACCATTAGATTGGAACCTCAAATAATGAGTAAGATTTTGAAATGTGTAGATGGAAGAAGGACATTTCAGCTAAAGGGCATAGCTTGAGCTAACGTGTGAAATTGGCAATCTGTGAAGCATGTCCAAGTAGTAGTGAACAGTTGGGTTTGTTGGAGGGATCCACTGTGTGCAAGGAAACAGAGGGAGATATGTCTGAGTAGGCAAAACGATCTGAACATTATTCAGTAATCAAGGAAGGGTCAATGTGATGGTAAGAACTGTGATTTAAGGCAATAAATTAGATTTTGGTGGCAGAATGAATGTGAAGGAGAAGGAAAGATAAGTCAGAACACTATTGCCAAAAAGTAAAACATACCTGTTTTGAGAAATGAAGTAGAGGTAACTATCCCCTGGGACAATGGTTCCTAATCTTTTGGGGGCCATACACTCCCTTAAGAATCTTTTGAAAGTTACAAAGCCTCACTGCAAATACTACACAGAAATTTGCCTGCAATTTCATATACCCCTGACGTCCATCCATGGGCCCCAACTTCAGAATCACTTCTTATTGACTTCCCTGTGATTTTCCACGCTTGTCAAATATTTAAGCAGATTGCAACATTACTCAGCTCCTGTGAATCAAGTTTAGCTCTAGAGTTTCTCACGACATTCTGCAATTCTGCCAAGGCTGGTAATCATGGTGGACGGAAGGAATGATACTTTTAAAAAGGAAAAGAATCTCTTTTTATTCTCTTGACCTTCCTGCAGGTTTCAGTGTCAATAGACACATTCCACCTGTCTTTTTCCTCACTCTGCTTGCGCTCCCTCCTGTCGCCCCTAATGACTGTGACCTCAGTGACCTTCCAGAATATCCATATGGCCCTTTTTCTCCTCAACCTAGCAACACCATACCTGCTACATGAGGGTTTGGATCTCATAATATTGTTCCTAAGCCTGGCCTCTCTTACTGCCTGGCATTGTGTGCCTGCCATAAGACTGGGCTGGCTCGTAAAACATCTCTTTATGTACTTTATTACTTAAACTCTTTTATTTGCCTGCAGGAGCCGTTTAACAAAATCACATTGAATTGACTTTCTCACACCAAATCAAATCTCCCTGGTCCCAGTTCAGTTGTCTTTGTCAATATGTATTTTATAAATGGAGTGAATTAACAGATGCTGTTGGAACAGAAGTGCTGGGGTAGCGTTTATATTTTTACTGCTCTCTCTGGGCAGATGAGTTGTGTAGGAGTGTTATACAGGTATCTCGGGATGAAAGTCATGCTCATCATTGCAGTGGATATGTATTCTTAACCATTTTCTTTGAATGTATTTTAAACCTCTTTATTACTCTTTTTATTCTTAGTGTTTGCTTGTATGGTTTTATCATTTATGCCATTAATCTTGGATTGGACTTGATTATATCTTTTAGTATTAAGAGATGAACATTAAAGTCTCCCTATCATTCAAAGAGACCAGGATTTTCTGTTAGCTGTGAGAAACTGATCGTGACATACCTTTGGAACGTATTGCCTGATCTCTATTATTAATGTTGTCCATGCAGCCTCGGATAGGAAACTCTGGGTTGAAACTGCTTTGTTATAGAATACTGAGTTTCCATGTCCTGGAGTAGGACTTCAGCAGAACGAATGACTACCCCTATTTGTCATAGAAGACAGGATCTGGAAACTTTGCAAAGAGGGAAATACAGCACAGAAATCCATTGTTAAAGGGCTGTACTAAAGAATATTTTCTAGGAAGATTTCCATGTGACATAATGAATTTTTGAAAGGTGAAACGTAGAAAAAATGCATCTCAACGATTTGGGGAACATTTTTGCTCTACCCTTTCTTTGTCAGTTTTGTGGTGGTAGCCATGAGGCCATCTACTGGTGGAGACAAGCATGCATTTCTTTTCTTTCGTATTCTGCCAATTTTATAAGTGTGTCCTAAGAATGACTAATCACAAAACTTTTTTTCAGTCTTATAGGCCTAAAATATAGTCCCTTGGCTTAAAATGTGGTCCCCATGATCAGTCCCAGAGTTGCACATTAATCTGTCATGTTCTAGACTTTGTTCTTTACTACCTTACTGTATTTATCTCAAAAGCATGATTCATAATTCTTGGTCTTTTTTTTTTTTTCTGGAAAAATGGAGCCCCTGTTTTACAGAATTAACAATTTAGAAATTCATCAGAACTATATGTTTATAAATGCTTTCCTTGTCAGCCCTGGCCATTAAATGAGTGTTAGTAACATATTGAAACTATTCATAGTATTGTGAGTAAAAGATTCTTTCCTTCACTGTTTTCCCAATTGTATCCAATAAAATGGAAGATATCTGTTGGATATATATATGCTGTTTGGGAAGATAAAATATATTGCAGCTTGCTATCAAAAATAAATATCTAATAGCTCTATGTGTACTGTACCACTTTAGTAACATCTGTCCAAGGAGAATCTTCACCTTTGTACAGATTTAAGGAACAGCCTCTGGAAGAATATATCGATCCGTCAACAATACACAACCTGTTTTGTTTTTCTTTTGGCATATTTAAAATTGTGCATTCTACATGTCAAAGTTCAAAAGTCAAGTGCTATATGTGATAAACTAGGCAGGGGTCAAAAGTTATTGCAATGCAGTTTCAGAAGATTGTCTGTCTCTGAATTTGCAGCTCATTCATGCTGAAGTGATGCACTATGGGAATTACTAGCAAACTCTGCTCTGCAACATCTGCTCTCCCTAAGTGAGTTAGTGCACGTCAGACATCTTTATGTCAGAATATTGCAGTGATGGATGCAGTCTTCAGAAAATGCTGCATAAAAATCTGGTGTGCCGTTCTGGCCATTAAGTGAAATTACTATTTAAATTAATGGCACTGTCACAGTTTATCTGTGCAAAGAATGAACGCTGATTAGGGTATTAAGTAATTAGCAATTTATCACACTGGAACAAGGTTGATAATAATTAAAGAAGTAATGGTTTACCAAAGAAACTAGAAAGGGAGTCACTTCTTGTTATGAGAGTGGAATCTTGGCTGGAAATTTTAATTCAGTGAAACAAAGATGAAACTCTTTGTGAAGGAAAGCAGCCTTTTTTTTTCCCTAGTGTAAAAACAGTTCATTATCAAAATTTTAGTTGACCTGTCAAAAGTCCCTCAGAGCGATCAGATGACTGATTAGGAGTTTCGAATTAGGTCAATGTCTGCATTTTGATTTTATACTTAAAACATGGTGAAACCACCAAGTAACTTGGGAGTAGAGAGGGAGAATATATTCTGCTCCCTAAAGGACCAGTTTTCAGTTTTCAGATTGCTCTTTAAAATGGAAACATGAATTATTTTAAGAAAACTGCTAGAGAAAAAATAAATGACAGTAAAAAAACCAAGGTTGTATTTAAATGTCTGATCAGAAAGCAGCGGAAAAAAAAATGTCCAAACAATGCAAAACTTGAAGATTTTTCTTTTCATTGTGTGTGTGCATGTGTGTGTATAATCGATCATTTTTACCATTTTATCATAATCAAAACTCAGATTACAATGATAGTTCTGCTGTGTGTATTTATGTGAAAAAAATTCTTTCCTGAAAATGTTAAAACAATGAAAATTATTAATAATCACCAAAGAAAACAGTTTACTTTTAAACCAATTACTTTGAACAGTTACCACATTTAGACGGCATGCAAAAAGTCCGTTATGATCAATATACATCATCTTAAAATATCAGGAGATATTTTTTAAATTGGAAAGATCAGTGAGAGAGTTCTTTGGAGTCTTGTGTGACTAAACATCTTTCTTAAGGTATGTACCAAGCCAGTGTCTACTTTCAGTATTTTTTTTTTTTAATAAAAAGCACTTAAAGCTCACCGGTCTATTATTAGGAGTGTCTTTCATAATGCAGGTGTTTGTACAGGACCAGAACAAACAATTCAGGACCTCAGGGCACTTTGAAGTTGAGGTTCTTTATGTTATCACTCAGGACTAATAATAAATAAACAAAATTCTAATTAGAATAAATCATTCACCACACTGTGCTGCTATATCACTGGATATAAATTCTGATATAATAGCATTGTGACATGGGGTGTAGGTACCTTAATTTCTGGCTTAATCTGACTCTAGAGTATTGTTTATTTATTCAGGCTTTTATGTCTAAATTCTACTGTATCTCTTCTATGGCAAGATCTAAATGATGTGAACACAGGCAGTTAAACTGAATTTGGTGCAAGAAAGAAGGTTCTTTGGTGTGAAAGGCATACATGTCTTTCCTCAACAAGTGGCGATCAATGCTCCCCCTTACAGGGTCTTTCTGCCTCCAACCTCTAATCCATGTCCAGGGATGGGTCTAGAACACAGTGCTGCTCAAAATATAGTGGCCAAATTGTTCACCTGATTGGTGAGCAAGCTCAGCTGGTTTGAACAAATCTATCTCCTGAGGAAAGAATGGTCACCATTGCTGCTGGATTCACAAGAAGTAAAATGTGCACCCTAGACAAAGCCGGGCAAAAACTTACAAGACCTCTACCACAGCATCTCCAGTGCCAGGATGGTCCTACCTCTCCACTCTGTCTAGGCTTTCATCCTAGAGTGCCTCGGTGACCTCTCCCTTGCAAATTTCTAGAGCTTTCCTCTCGTCCCCTGTACTTCATCCCTTTTTCTGCAACACGATGTTATCATCACAAAATGGGCAGGTAATTCTCATGACGGAAATCAGGGCTTTTTTTTAATGGAGCTTGGAAGAAGTCTGGCCCCCTGAATGATTTTGAACCACTTCCTCTTGTGTGTTCTTTACCTAATTAGTGTCTAGTGCTCTTGGTAAGAAGGACCCCTCACTGCACATTTAAATCACCTTGGTAGGGAAACACTACCTTAGGTATTGTACCATTTCAGCGACTGCCTGAGTCTGACATTTTTATACCAAACTTTACAGCAGTCTCCGTTTTCTTCCCTTTTTTTTTATTTCATATTCATATATAACATTTTATTGTTGCAGGGATGTTCTGTTGTGGGCAGGATTATGTGAATATGTCAGATACCATATGCTGTTCAGCTTCCAGTGGAGAGTCTAAAGCACATGTTAAAAAGAATGACCCAGTGCCAATAAAATGCTGCGAGACTGAACTTATTCCAAAGAGCCAGAAATGCTGTAATGGAGTTGGATATAATCCTTTGAAATATGTTTGCTCTGACAAGATTTCAACTGGAATGATGATGAAGGTAATTGATAGAAAACCTCTCAGAGGTGCTGATTTGACAATGGAAAGAGAAATACATTGTTCATAACTATTTTTCTAAAATAGGAATATAAAAACTCCTGTGTGCATTATTCATTTTCATATTACATCCATATTAATACCAAATGAGTTCGCTGTGATTGATGTTATTGCAATGAATTCTAAAGGAATTAATAATGATTAGCTGTTCTCAGGAAGCTTTACCCAGCACTTCAGATCAGTGCAAGACTGAAAGTCTGTGTGCCGAAAGAGCCAGCACTTGTCAGCTGGGACCTCTGTGTCATGCCATTTTTGTCCATGGGTGCTGGGGATGGAAAAGGAGATCAATCCTGGCTTCTTCCCTCTGGGCCCCTAACCATAATCCAACACTTTCCTTTGATAGCGACTTTAGATACAGCAAATTCACTCGTGCTTATATCCTATTCCTTGAGACAGTAGAAGATCAGCAAATGCCTGCCAGTCATGAAAGTGAACAGGCCTCTGAGTGTACCATTTGTTTGGATGTTGAGATGCTTCACAGACAGACATGTCATGTTTTGTTAGCATTAAACTTGACCCAGGACTCCAGAAACCTACCATTTTAAGGAATGGATTGTGGACATTGAAAAACCAGACACCCTACTCTGTTCTGTAGCAATCTGCCATTAGGAGATGGCTGCAAATGGATGTTTGGGTCATAGACAATGGAAGGGCTCTTGCCGACTGATGCAACTATACAGTCATTGTGTGGACACCATATACTTTGGGATGTAAAGTAACTCTTGAGATTGTTAGGGTCCCAGCAAGCACTTTGCAACAATTAATCTTAAGACAATTCATAAAGTTATTAAAGAGAATAAGTACTAATGGACTAATCATACAAAATACCCATCAAAAATAATCTTCATCTACAAAATGTTTTTAGAAATTGGTCTGACCTGTACACAACTTTAAAATAGCCAATTCTACGAAAGAAATCTCTCCAACACTATGCTCCCAAAGTTTACATTTATTCCAGGCCAATTTTTTCAGAAGTTTGGACTGAGAAATTTTTCTGAAATTCAGTCTTAAAAAGCTGGTGATGTTGCAAGGGCATGTTTCTTTTTTTTTTTTTAAGATTTTATTTATTTATTTGAGAGAGAACAGAGAGTGCAAACAGTGGGGTGGGAAGAGTACGAGAGGGAGAAGCAGACTCCGCTGAACGTGGAGCCTGATGTGGGGCTCAATCCCAGGACCCCGAGATCATGACCTGAGCCAAAGGCAGACGTTTAACCGACTGAGCCTCCCAGGCGCCTCATGAGGACATGTCTTTAAAATGACCAGTTAAGAAACATCTATGTAGAAAACTCTAAAAGGGGCCCTCATATTTGAAAAATGAAGATAGAAAACCTTTTAGTTTCAAAAATGACGCTGCTGCTCACAACTATTTGTTTCATTACTGATCACTCACATTTGTTTCCCAGGCATCCCATTTTGGTTCCAGGAAGATAGAGCTTCCATTATTCGACAACAATATTCAGGATATATACATGATCTTTTAAATTGACTTAACTTGGCTTTATGAAGGGCAATTAACAGTCATATTGAATATTCATATTTAAATTATTATGATTAGGACAATATTTCTGAAGGCCAAATCAAGCAGTGTGTTACAGGTAAAGTTCAATGTGTAGATTGCATTGTGTTTCCTGAAGACTTCTTTCCTGGAGACCTCTATCCAATAAGGACTGGACCACTATGGGATTTCTCCCCTGAGAGTCTTCTCTAACTGTGGGTTTGGGAATTCCTTTTACTTCTCTCCTGTGTTGGTGTCCCTGTGTTCTCAATCCAAGGGTCCCCGTTTCTTGCCTTAATGCCTTCTTTTGGAGAAATATCATTTTGGGTATAGGTGCATAAAAGGTAAATTTTTTGAGAGCTTGACATTAGAAATGATCGTTTTTCGAGCCTCCCACTGGATTGATAGCTTGGCTAGGTACACACTGTAAGGTTAAAAATTATTTCCACTGAGGATTTTGATATCATGTCTGCATTTTTAAACTTTCTTTGCTATTTTGATCCCTGTTTCTTCCTAGGTACCCATGTTTTTTTTCCTATGAAAGTTTTTAAGACATTCTCTTTATTCTGTTTTTCGAAAATTTCATTTAAAAATTTTTAAAAATAAAATTTCATGACAATGTGCCTCTTTGTGGATGATATTATTATTATTATTCATTATGATGTACATTTTTGTGTACTTTTTCAGTGTGAAGTCTCATAACCTTCAGTTCTGGGAAATGTTATTTTATTTCTTTGATAATTTGCTCTCTTTTTAATCTCTGTTTTTACTGATTAGTTTGGTGTTGGACTTCCTAAACCAATCTTTCAATCTTTTCTTTTTATTTCTTGACTATTGATTAGTTAACTCTTTATCTTTTTCAACATGATCAGATTTTGCCTTAGCTTCATCTTCCAACCTTTCTATTGATTGATTGATTTTTTAGCTATCATATTTTTTATTTTCTATTTTTTTTTTTTTTTTTTTTTTAGTTTTTCAGGGTTCTTTCTTTTTTGCAGGCTGTTATTTATTCATGGCATCCCACTCTTGTTCCATTCATGGGATATCTTTTTTATCATTCTGGAAATACTAATTCCATTGCTGTTGTTATTTATTGTTTGTTTGCTTTATTCTTTGAATTGTCTCAATTGTTTGGCATTATTTTAGTTTTCTTCTTTGCCTTGCTTTGTTTCTGCTCCCTCTCAGTTCTTTTTTCTATGTTTTTAAATCTATTCTTTCTATTGGAGGCTGAATGAAAGCTCACTGTGCAAAGGCATCCATTAGTGGGGAGTGCAAAGTAACCTAATCATGTGGCAGGATGGTTTTTGGTCAGGGAGTCACATTACCAAGAATCCTTAGCAGATATGCTTAATTAACTATCCTTAATAATCCATCCTAGATCAATATGCCTGGCTGACAGCATACAGAGAACTGGTGGAAAAGGGGACTGGTTTTCTCACTGTGCAATATGCAGACTTGTATTTGATTTTCCCACTCTGGCCTCCTGGCCTATATCTTCCAGTGGACTTTCTCTGTTCCTTTTAATTTCACCCAATCTTTTCTAAGCTTATCTCATTTTGTAACACTTTATCAAAATGCAGCTAGGAACAACACAAACCTACTGCTAATCTTCTAGATTATAACCTCCCCTAGGGCTGTGAGCTCAGTAGCACTGGCTTACTTTGACAGTTATCCCAGGTCATGGTTTTATCAAATATTTAGCCACAGCATAACAGAGTTCCCCAACTTTCCAAACCCCAGTATGTATTTCTTTGCCACTGCCCACCTAACAATTAAGCCAATGCCATGGGATTTAGGGCTTTATTGTTATTTTTAAGACAATATCTAACTTCAAGGTTTTAATTTATGTTTTACCTAGGACATGATAGACTATGCCAAAATAAAAACAAGTGCACTCACATATGGAATGAGTCAACAGAATAAAAGTTAAAAAAGTTTTTCACATTGCAGTCCAGTGTGAGTTAGGCACCTCTCCTCCAAGAAATGTCTCAGAAGCCCAATCCCCTTCCATCTTGTGGGGCTTCACACACGACCCTCAGATTGCGATGGAAAAGAGGAGAGTGGATGAGTATACGTGTGTGGGTCTCACCTGGATGCAGAATACATCCTTTCTGTAGAGTGAGGACATAGACATTTCTAGTCATGTGGCTTTTCCTACTGAGCCGAACTTGCAAATTTAGTATTTCTAGGGAGAAAAAACAAAAGGGACATTACTGGGCATATGGTATTGTCTCTGCCACATTCATCTACTTCCCAGCTTCCAAAAATGTTTGAGCTGTCCTGTGAGGATTAGCTCCCTTTCTGTTTCCTTGGACTTTTATATTCCTTTACTGTCATTTGGTTGCGCTTCAAGAGGAAATGGAGCTAAATGCCGGTGTTCAATTCTCTATAATCAAATGGAAATCCTACCACAGTTTTCTGAAGCAGCTTTATTTGGACAACCTTTGGGAGAATAACATATATGAAGTAAGAGATTGAATTTAGATCAATTTTAAATACCAAAAAATTATTTTAAATACATTATGCCATCTAGGGCACCTGGGTGGCTCAGTTGGTTGAATGTCCAACTCTTGATTTTGGTTCAGGTCATGATTTCAGGGTCATGAGATTGAGCCCTGGGCCCGGCTCCCTGCTCAGCAGAGTCTGCCTGAGATTCTTTCCCCTCCTTCTCCCCCACCTCCTGCTCTTTCCCTCGCTGATGCTCTCTCTCTAAAATAAATAAATAAATAAATAAATAAATAAATAAATAAATAAAGCCACCTATGTAAAGAAAAGATGAAGGAAAGTTTTGCATTACAAAAATGTTGCCTTATTTATATATCTCCTGTAATCTGGGATGATGAAGTATTTCATTTTCTGAGATTAGAACACACTAGTACTTACCAATAACAATAAGAAGTCCAGAGATTCATGAGAGGACAGGTTTACAAAGGTAAATAATAATAACTATAATGAGAGTTCATGAAATATTTAGATTTTCTAAAACTTGGACAAAGTTTTAGCAGTCTGACTTGCCCCACAGCACAAAAGTGCAGATTCTCAAATATCACATTTTTCTCTAAAGCTCCATTAGGAAAGTGTCAAAGTAACAATAATAAAATAATGACTCCTGCTCTTATTTATAGCGTATCTAAGTGTAAGGCATTTACAGGTGTTATCTCATTTGATTCACATAACAAACTTGCATGGTAAATGTGATTTCCATTTTCTAATGGAAGAAGCTGAGGCTTTGAGAGTGTAAGTGACTTGCTCAAGGTCACAGAAGTAGGAAGTGGCAAAACTGGACTCTGAATCCAAATCTGTGTCATCCACAGCAAAACTGCTCTTTCTAGTATACACACCACCTTCATTTCTTTTCATAAATCTTGAGACATTTATTCATGATCTAAGTGGAAGAAAATTTCATTTGCATCTTGTAAAAACCTGCCCCACATACATCTAAATGTAAATTTTAAAAAGATATTTATTTATTTTAGAGAGGGAAAGAGAGCACGCATGCACTGGGAGAGGGGGCAGAGGGAGGGAATCTCAAGCAGACTCCCTGCTGAGCACAGAGCCCAACACAGGGCTGGATCCCACAACCCATGAGAACAGGACCCATGAGATCATGATCTGAGCTGAAACCAAGAGTCTGATGCTCAACCAAATGAGGCACCCAGGTGCCCCTGTCCAAATGAATTTTTTAAATCTCCTTCTTCCCACCTCTACCACTCAGGAAACCAGAGAGTGCGGGACGGTCTGCCCAGCATCTCTGGAAGCCACAGCATACTGCGGCAGGTGTGACTTCAACTTTACCAGCCACGTTTGTACTGTGATCAGAGGACCTCACAATTCCACAGGCAAGGAATCAATAGAAGAAATATGCTCATCTGCTGAAGAGACTGTTCACACGGGTAGTGTAAACACATTCTCCTTCACAGGTAACAGAAACTGAGCCACCTGTCCATAGCTTAGTAGGGATAGTGAAAAGCTGCAGAAAATGCAGATTTGTTTCATTCTGATGTCGTCCCCCTCCTTAACCTAATATCAATTAATTTCATCATACTATGGGCTAGCTAATTACAAGGTAATTAAAGGCACACTTTGGATCTGTTCAAAGTTAGTAGCTTAAAAAAATGTAAAGTCTAAATTTAAACAAAGATATATACTATTTTAAAGTAAACATGTAGAAAATCCAGAACAGGGAAATAACTTATGTGTTCTTTTATGGCATATCCAGTTAATCATCAGTGAGCCCCATTTTATTTCTTAAAAGTGTGAATGCAGGCTTTCAATAAATGCAGAGAATGAATGTTGCTGTACTTGTAGGCAGAAAAGAGGAAGAAACCTGTATGATCACCAGTAAGACCTAGCAGCATTATTCTGGGAAGGAGCTTAAAGTATCCCTTTCCTGATCTTGGGTCTGTGTCTAGAGACTGCACTCTCCCACAGCCTGGTGTTGCCACTAAATGGCCATCATCTTGGGAACAATAACCTTCACAGTTATTGAAAATATTAATTTTCAGGTCCCATCTTGGCCCTACTGAATTCCTCCAAAATAGTGGTTCTCAGGCTTGGCTAAGCTGAGTGAAAAACACTGTAAAGTTTAAGATCATCTCCAAAATAGTTCTGCCCTCTATTAAATTTTTATTATTTGTCCATTTACTTAAGTCCCTACAGAGTTTGTTTCTGCCTTTTGAAAACTTAAGTGTATGTGTGTGTGTACATATATATCATCCACCATCTAGAGTCAAATAGAATACATTTAAGTGACATAATTCAAGCAAGCTAAGGTTAAATAAACAAAAAACTGCTCTGTTCCATCATGACTCATCATTCTACCTTACGTAACCGATGGTGGGTGATAATGGCAAACCTTAAGATTGCAAAAAAATAAGGCAAGATGCTGGAATGAGGGGGTAGATTAAGAAGGGAAAGCAGGAATAAAGGTAAGGTTCCAGTGATGTGCTAGAGGCTTCAAAACCTTACCTTAATTTACTCACAAAGCAATCATGGAAGTATGATCGTTTAATAGATGAAGAAACTGAGGGTCAGATCTATAAAAGTAACTTGCTAAGGGAAGATGTCAGGTTTAAATCACGTCACCTTCAAAACCAGCTGATTTAAGATACTCTACATGGTGTAGGAGTTCCTTTCAAAGTGCTCCAAACTTCCCTCAAGCTATTTCTCCCACCTGAAATGTCCTTCTTCATCATTCCCAGGGTGCAGATGACCATTGTCCTCAGTGCAGGCTTCTCGAGCCCAGTCCCTCTCTCCTCTCCCACATCAGCATGACGTTCATTTCTACCGTGTGTCATGTGCATCTGGACCCTTGTTCCATCTCTCCTATGAGATTGAAATAGCTGTATGAACAAGGTGCCCTTGCTTCACTTTACCTCATTTTTGGATTACACTGTAAGCAAACAAAATAAAACAAACAAACAAACAAAAAACATTTATTGGAATGAAAGTCCTCAAGATAGAGGACAATTCGTCAAACCCTCCAATTTCCTTCCACTCCCAGTTATAGATTTAAGGACCCTCATTTCCAAATTAGTGAATTTGGTCCAGATGCACATGATCCAAGAGAATTTCCTACTTTTATCTGCCTTTTGAAATCAAGGTCAAGATTTTGAAGGTCCTTTAAGACATATTTACAATAGCCTTCTCCAGAAGAGAATAGTTGTTTATTTAACTTATTTAGCCATCCATATTTCAGATTGCTTTGCCTACCAAAGAACACTAAATTGAATATGAAAAATAACAAAAATTTCTCTTCCAAGAAGAAAATGAAGCACCAAAGTCATGCTAAAACAAGTTCCATTGAGACCAATTTGGACTAAGAAGTCCACCTTTCTTAGAAATTTACAATTAAAAGCTAAACAACACCAAGTTTCACCCAAATTCATTCATGCATACAATCATTTCATTTTTCAAAAAAATATTTCTTAAATTTTTACTAATAACCAGTCACTACATTGGGCCTACCAGCTATGAAAACAAATAAGAATTCCCATCAGGAATTTGAAGCCCATACAAACAGACATGGAACAAATATAAGTACACTGTAATATGAGAAATATGTCCATGTAAGAATTCTGATAGAAGTAAGCATAGGGTGCTTTTCAAGGGCATTGCCTAGACATCTAACCCAGACTGAAGAGGTTAGGAAAGACTTTGTGAAGGATATCATGCCTGAGCTGGGAAATGAAGAACAAGTAGAAACATATCAGGTTAAAGGAAGGGAAGCCAGGCAGAGAGGGCAACATGTACAAAGCATAGGAAGTGAGAGAAAGCCTAGTGAGATGTGAAAAACAAGCCCCTTGATATGAATGTAGCACTGTGTAGGAGAGGAGAAATCATGGAGATGCGGCCAAAGAGCAGGGGTCAGCTGATGAAGGCCTTTTATGCCACACTAAGCAGGTTGTCTTTATGCAGCAATGAGTGGGTATTAAAGGTTTTTAAGCAATAGAATGACACAATCCTGTATATACATTTTTTAAGAATTACTCTATCAGCTGAAGAAATGATTGTAGACAAGTATGCGTGGAACTTTTAAGCCATTAACACGTAAAAATTGAATAAGCATACCTCCCAAAAAGCAGAACCCTCTGTTATTTGAAGACTAGCCCCATATAACATACAGAATGATTTTGAGATAAAAGGTGTTTTTTTTTTTCCTTTTTTTAAAAAAGAGTTGGAGATTCTGGCAAAGAAAAAAAGAACTCAGAAATGAGAGAGATTGTTGAGGGAAGGCAAAATTTCAACAATGTTTCCTTATGTGTAAAGCAAAAAGAATTCTTCCATGGGCTAGGAGCATCTTTGAAAGACCAGGCCTCACAGGAAAACAAAGGATGATATGCCACAGAGGAAAGAACAAGGAACACAGCATGGCGAGCTACTGCAACTGCAATTAGAACTGGTGATGTAGGCCTGAAGAGTAGGAAATAACAGTTATTAACAATGAGCAGTTCAATCTGCTACAGCCAATTGACTGAAAAATATAGGGACCGTCTGTGGGTAGGTGGATGGTCCGGGCAGCTCAGCCCTTACACGGTCATTCAGGGATCCAGACTCCTTCCAGTTGACGGATCATCACGTTTCCGGTGCTGCCCTCCTTCCCATGGTGCAGCCTGGGTCACCACAACATCCTGCTTCCAGCCCACCGAAAGGGGATGAGAAGGTCAATGGAAAGCAAGTGATTTCCTCTTAGGAAGCGAGGCACAGGTTGCCCATATCACTTCCATGCTTCTTGCGTTATTCGGATCTGAGTCATATGACAAGCCCAAGCTGCAGAGAAAACTGGGAAAATTAGACCCTAGCCAGGAGGCCTCTGAGAGGGACAGAAGGGAGAGCTGGGCACCCACCAGTGGTCATCATAAGTAACAAGTTGCAGATGCCCCCTTACCAGAGAAAAATGAAGACAGAAGATAAGCCCTTCTATTTTATAGCAGTTTACATTTTATGATGTTCTGCCACATAACTTCATGCGTTTTTATTTTCATATTAATTCTATAAAGTAAGCAGGTCATGGTTTATGGTAAGGAGATATATGTAAGGAAAATATGGTCAAAAAATCCACATGGATGGACAGAGACTCAACCCCACATGAAGATAGAGCAGGTGGCCGGGAAACCCCAAGGAGGAAGACCTCTTCTTCTGATCTCCCCTCTGAGAAAAGTCATCCAGAAACCACCACACAAAAATGCATACATACAAACATAGTCAAAATTCACAAAATTAAACAGATTTAGCCAATTAAATTTTCCAGTTTTTTTTTTTTTTTTTTTTTTTTTTTGGTAAATTTGTAGCATTTCTGAAGTTACCAAAGCTTAAAACTAGACAAAGACTTTTGGGATGCCATTGAATCACATGGATGATTATCTAATAAAATCATTGCCAGTACAAAACACTCAACAGTTTGGTTTTATTCTTTCATTTAGATTGGTTGTTTTGGATTTGGGTTTCTGTTCTGGTTTGGTGAAAGAGGGAAGGATGTATGTAGTGGATTGTGCAGTCGGTTATATCCACTAACCATGATAAGCCAAGTTTCCAGTCTTGTATCTCATAATAAGTACATTATAATTTATATACTTAATTTAATGTAATATGAATGATGTAATAATTGGTAAAATTTATAATATAAAACTATAAAAGCAGGTTGGTGAACCTGCCCTTTACAGAAGTATAGGATACACACACTTGGGAAGCATTAACATCCAATGTACATTAGTCTAGTACTTTAGGTTTTCAGTCATTCCTTTCATGTTACCCCTTGTTCAGAAAAGGTCAGTTCTATTCTGTGGAATTCCATATCTCTGCATCCAATAAACACGTAAAATGTTATTTTTTTATGATTTAGAATGTTAAGAGATAAGAGTTCTATTCACACACAACAGGATTAGAGCATTAAGCATTTATTTTTAAGTGTTTAAAAGTTTTGATATTCATTTTCAATATGATGGTAAAAAAATAAAAATGTTTTAAAAATCTCGCTGTTCAATTTCTCCCTTTCCAGATGTGAACCTGGAGCCTTATATGGCGTATGAGTATAGGATTTCTGCATGGAATAGCTATGGGCGAGGATTCAGCAAAGCTATCAGAGCCAGGACAAAAGAAGATGTGCCTGAAGGAGTGAGTGCCCCTAGGTGGACCAAAATGGATAATTTTGAAGATGTGATAGTCTTAAATTGGAAGAAACCTATACAATCAAATGGTATTAAGCTATTTTTAAAATTGAAATAACAAAATCCTGTAAATCCATAAGGAAATTTAAATGAGTGTGATCTACATGTAATTGGCGTGCTTCTACCCATTAAAAATTATTTGCCAGTAAAAGGAACCTTAGGTGTGTACCTACTAATCATTCATTTTTTAAAATAGGCCTCACAAGTGTTTAGCCCCAGAAATTTTTTCTGGAATCCTAGCATATATCTGAGCTGCTTTCAAACAAGCAAAGACTGCTAACGAAAGGCAAAATAGTTTCAATATTGGAAGTAATTTTGTTTGGTAGTGAGGGGAAATAAACATAAATGACTCCTTATTTATCTATGTCCAGAATCCCTCTCTTCAATAAGAGTGCATATCATTCAGAACTGCTCGAACATAGCAATCCAATAGCAAATTAAAAGTAAGTGATGCTATATTATCCCATTTCCTCAGAACTCTAAGACATGTAAGTTGTTTGCAAAAAGTTAAAATGTTCTGACACTCAAATCTGGGTATTTCTCTGTCTCTTTTAGGTCCAATTGTTTACTATATTCTTCTCCGAAATGGGATTGAATGCTTTCGGGGAACATCATTGAGCTTCTCTGATACAGAGGGCATTTGGCCATTTCAGGAATACTCATACCAGCTGAAAGCCTGCACGGTTGCTGGCTGTGCTATCAGCAGCAAGGTAAGGGGAGGTACCTAAACTCTGGACAGAAGTAGCCAGTGGGAAGACTAGAGGAACACCCAGGTTGTGAATGATTTTTCCAATGGCAGAAAGCAATATTCACCTCAATGGCAGCGTGTTCATGTGGCATCTCAACTGACTACTAATACATATGCCTGAAAGGAGAGATCACTGCAAAGGGAATTTATGCATATATCAGTGTTTCATTAATTTTAAAAAAAGAAAGAAAACTTGAACCAATATTATCCTCTTTACCATATTTTTCCTCTGCCAACTATTTTTTTATTGTTATGTTAGTCACCATACAGTACATCTTTAGTTTTTGATGTAGTGATCCATAATTCATTATTTGCATATAACACCCAGTGCTCATTACAACTTGTGCCCTCCTAAATACCCATCACTGGGCGAACCCATCCCCCTGCCCCCCTCCCCTCTGAGACCCTCAGATTGTTTCCCAGAGTCCATAGTCTCATGGTTTGTCTCCCTTTCTTGATTTCTCCCCCTTCAGTTTTCCCTCCCTCCCCCTAATGTCCTCCCTGCTGTTCCTTATGTTCCACGTGTGAGTGAAACCGTATAATTGTCTTCCTCTGCTTTACTTATTTCACTTAGCATCATCCCCTCCAGTTCCACCCATGTTGATGCAAATAGTGGCTATTCATCCTTTCTGATGGCTGAGTAATATCCCATTGTATATATGGACCACATCTTCTTTATCCATTCATCTGTTGAAGGGCGTCTCGGCTCTTTCCATAGTTTGGCTAGTGTGGACATTGCTGCAATGAACATTGGGGTGCATATGGCCCTTCCTTTCATTTCATCTGTATTTTTTGGGGAAATACCCAGTAGTGCAATTGTTAGGTCATCGGGTAGCTCTATTTTCAGCTTTTTGAGGAACCTCCATACTGTTTTCCAAAGTTCTGCCAACTATTTTTAGATGATCTTCTGTAAATCCATAATAATTCCCAAATCATCCCTCAGTTTAAAAGAGCTTTTATTTAAATAGGACTTCAACCAAAAATTGCCTGCTCTTGAAAAACAAAGAAAGGGGCAAAAGAGCCTGGCATAGAAAATAAAATGATACCAAGATTTCTGCTACAGCCTTGGAAAGAAACGAGCTCATGCAACAGGAGTGAGAATGGGGAATATCAGGAAGATACAACAGATATTGGGGGATGAAATCTACAGGAATTGCTGTCAACTCTATGCAGGGGAATAAGAGGAAAGTATCAAAAATATATTCAAGATCTCTGACTCTCTGGCTTGAGCAAATTATAGATCACGTGCCATTCTGCAAGCATAAAAAAATGAAAGAGGAAAATTTGAGCATAGAGAATATGATTAAAATTTTAAATGTTTTTAAAAAATATATTTAAGAGAAGGAGCAGACAGTAGAGTAGCAGAAGAAAATATTATTTGGCACTTTAAGTGAAAATGTCTTGTCAGAAGCTGAATTATGAAGTGACTGAATTTGCTAGAAAGATCCATGTGGGAAGTCGAAGCAAGGAGTTTGAATAGGGTCATTTAAGGAGAAGAGAGAGAGAGAGAGATAAAAACAAGACCATAGATAATGAACACTGGGAATACGAAGAGCCCACAAAGGAGACTGGAAAGAAACAATCAGACAATTTAGGAGGAAAATAAAAAAAGAGCCATCTCACAGAAGTCAGCCTAGTTAGAGGAAACCCAGGAGAAACAAACACACAGCAGCTCTGATTCTTTTCATGTGGTTACAACTTTAGAAGAGCAGCATCTTCACACACTGTGCAAGAACCATCCAAGGAAAACATTCAGTCAGATGGATCAGCCGCAGTGCATATGTGCAGCTTTTTATTCAACAGACCTCCAGAAACATCTCTGAGCATGCCACCATTTAAACAGATGGCAGCTGATTGGCCCAATCAAAAGTTATGGTCCGAATGGTCCTAGAACAATTCCATGCTTTTTTACACAAGCACAGTTCCTGCCTACCAGATGCCAGAACAATTGATTTAAAAAGTGAAACCGGAGTTAATTCTGTGAAAAAACAAATGCAGCTAATTTTTGATAACACCGAATAAATAACTGGTTGATTTATCCTTTTTTCCTTCTCATTCAGTTCTTTTTCCAGAACATTGGTACAGACGCTATCAAGTCATCCCGGTATCATAGGAAGAATACAAAAAAAAAACAAAAAAAAAAAAACCCTGCCATTTATACTGTTCAAAGCACATTATATGCAAGCAAGTTCAGATGTGGGTTTTGCTTCATATTTACTGGTGCTTAAAATGTACAAAATCAGGCTGTTAAAATGCAAAGACACTGATGGGCCATATGGAAGAGAGTTATCAAGAGTTCTCTAGTAAGACAGGCTGCCAGCCAGATTTTACTTGTTTAAACTGAGGGCTGCACTCCGCCGTCAAAATTGTTGTTGAACCTGTTGTGATAAATGGTAGTCTGAGACTTATGTAATGTATTCAAGGTCAGATTTCATTGTTTGAATAGGATGGGAGCAAAAGAATAGAAAATAAAGGGGGGGGGGGCGGACTGTTTCTCCAAGCCCCTGCTAATGATATGCCAGGCCAGACAACAACATTTTAAAACAAAAGTGACATTCTCGTTGATCAGAATACCTAGTGTCCTATTACCATAAATTGCTCTTTAATTCCTATGTTTGCAGGTAGTTGCATCTACGACCCAAGGAGTTCCAGAGAGCATCCTGCCGCCCAGAGTCACGGCACCCAGCGCAGAGGCTCTGCATTTGAGCTGGAGTGTCCCTGAGAAACCAAATGGCATCATTAAAGAGTACCAGCTCCGGCAGGTTGGGAAAGGTCTCATCTACACTGGCACCACTGACAGGAGGCAGCATACGGTCACAGGTGAAAAAAAAAAGAGGAAAACCTACCGGAAGAGTCTGTCATTATGGTTAGGGGGGCAAAGCATCCCAGGGGTGTGCATTTGATATATGAGGTCACTTTGAAAGGACGTGTTCTCTTGACATATGGTCAGGTCCCACTTATCCATGCTAATAGAAGAGCCCACACTGGCAGCAATAAGCCACAACAGCAGATAACTTCAGAAATAATTTATATTTGGCTTTGATATGCATTATGTGTAGGGTTTTTGCATGAGTATTAACTTTTTTTTTCCCTCAGACAAACGGTAAGATGCATTTTCATTCCCCAAGGAGATACTTACAGATAATGGGGTGAAGATAGCCAAGAATGTACTGGAAGTCAGGGAGACATCAGCCAGAGGCTAACATTATCTACCGAGTGGGTAACTAATACACAGAATACTTGACAGGTGACTGTTTGTGACAGTTTGTTATTATTAACGTTAATTAATAGTGACTGTATTATTTTTATGCCTTGTTACAACATTTACTATAATTAACTTTAAGAAAATAATAATAGCACAGTATAATAGTATAAAGTCAGATAATTACTAGAAGTGATTATAATAATAATTAACATGTTTTGGTTTGAATGTCACTTCTGAAGAGAAGCGTTTTCTGACACCCCCACTCTAAGGAAGCTTCTTTGATAGACCACAGTATCACCTTGTCTTATTTTCATCATGGACCTCTCACTGCCTGATAGAGTTTGTTTTTTATGTCCTCCCCCCACTGGGATGTAAGCTCTAGCATTGCAGAGACCTTCAGTACCTAGTTCAATACAGTACTTCCAGCGCATAGAACAATCCTTGACACATCCATAGATGCTACACGAATGTTTGGGGAATAAGTGAATTTCACAGTTGCCTCCTGACATGTACTATCTCATTTGATTCTCTTCACAAACCTATGGGGTAAAGAGAATTATTACTCTCATTTTACAGAAAAGACTACTTTGAGATATTAAGTAACTTAGTTCATTACTCAGATCTGTTGAATCATCCCAAACAGTTGTGTAAGTTTAGATTCTGAGGCCACAGGCAAGAGGTTACAAACTTACTTTTCCCCCATTGTCAGTAGCTTCCTTCCAAGGCCTCCTGAGTGAATGTTCTTCCATTGGACCCCATCGCTTGCAGGGAGCATTGATACTAGAGATCAGGAAACTTGTAAAAAAGTACAGAAAAGCCTGGAAGAGTGTGCCTGAATTTTCCTCAGAGGAGGCACAGGTTACACTACACAAGTGGAAAAATCAATTCATCGTGATTTGTTCTTAATTCTACGATTCCCTGACACACAAGCAGGCATTCATTGACAGATGTCCACTGTTTTCAGGAAGTGCCTGAAGCCTGCAGAAGGTGCTTCATAAATATTTGCAGACCAGCACATTGCATTCCTTAACTGAAGATCCTGAGCTAAATCAATGATAATGGAGATGGAAAAAGCCCTCATCAATTCAAATTAGAAAAATTTATTTCTTAGATCTTATTTCACTGCCAGTGAAAATGATCACAAATAGTTGAAATGCTGTTGTTTTACATAATAAATCTTTACATTTATATTGTGCTTTATAATTTTAAAGAACTATTTGCATTTGGTTCTCATCACATCCCTAGAAGTGAGGGATGTTTTTAATATCCACATTTAAAAGATGAAGAAGGAAAGTGACACGCTCCGGTGCCCAAGGCATCAGAATACTGTTTCATTCAAAAAAAAAAAACAACAACAAAACAATGTTTCCTGCTTGCTGTGTTCTAGAGAGTACACTAAGTGCTCTAAAACAAGATTGTTGCTCTCAAGAAACTCCCAGTGCTGGGAACACTGACAAGTTAAGAACTAATTGCAAATACAGCGTAACTGATGCCACAGCAGAACTAAAGAATGCATTGGGGTGGGGGGGGGCGGGAATCAAAAGAATGACTTGGAGTGGAAAATGGAATATCAATTGCAGAGTTTTGAAAGCCAAGTTAAGGCACATTTAGATTTTCTATCAGTAAAGGTTTCACAAAAAACTGGGATACGGTGATATGAATGTTTTCCTTACAGTATCTGTCTACTTGGCCAACATGGGCTTTGCACTGTGTGAGCTGTTCTTGTTGCATTTTTTTAAAACTGGCATTTACATGCCAACAGACTAAATTCAAATGTAATGTTCAAACCAACAGGATTGATAGCCTCATTAATTATAAAATAATTGGAAAGATTTTTCTTTAAAACACCTTTATTCCGCCTGTTCTTCCTCTCATTGTCATTTTTAAATGAATATTTTCATGTCAGAGAGGATTTCACACTCATCACTTGATGCCAGGAGTTCTCTTTTATTAGGATAAATATTTTAAAGTTTTTCTATATGCTTTTACTTTTTATAAGATCATAAAATGAAAAGATGCCTTTAGAATTCATTTGGCTCATCCTTCGGTACCATTTTATTTTATTTTTTTTAAAGATTTTATTTATTTATTTGAGAGAGAGAGAGCACAAGTGAGCACAAGCAGGGGGAGGGGCAGAGGGACAGGGAGAAGCAGACTCCCCGCTGAGCAAGGGAGCCCGACATGGGGCTTGATCCCAGGACCCCGGGATCATGACCTGAGCCGAAGGCAGTCACTTAACCAACTGAGCCACCCAGGCGCCCCCCTTCTGTACCATTTTAAATAGATTTAGATAGTACTTCACTTGGGCAAGACAGCCCTAAAGAGAAATATCCTTGTTGAATGAAGAAGTAAACTCTCATTCAGCAAAACCTCACCAAGTAGAGCCTCCTATATGCAGTTCCTACCGGATGCAATGGTGCTAAGCATCAGCTCATCTAAAACCTGAGATCTACATACTGTTCACATACCTTATCTGCTGGGAAAACTTCATTTCCATAGTTCTCTGACTGACCAAATTCTCTATGGAAGTATTTTATGATATGAATGACTATTTTACTGAGTTCATGGAATGAAGAAAAACAACCAAATTTATTTTACATTGCATCTCAAGTGTTTGATCAAAGAACTGTCTGTACCCTCTGGGATAAATGTTTTGATTTTCACATCATTTCCAAAACCTTGGCATTCCCTAAGTTAACAGTCAAACGCTAATGAAGCTGTAGCACTAGTCATCCTGGAGCCTGAAAATCGAGGTCCTTAGAAATGACAGAAGGGAACGCGAGCACCTTGCCTCAGCCCCATTGTCTCCATGCTTATTTTTAATTACCTCAAAGCTTTAGAAACATGATCCCATAAATGCTTTGTGGGAATAGTGGCAAATGCACTCATCATGTGAAATCCATAAATTGCTTATAATCCTCTCAAGATGTTAAAAAAAAGCATTAAGTAATTGAAGACAGGAAGTCCTCAGTTAATTATTTAGAGGTGTTATCAATGCTTTAAGTAAACTGAAGCATTTTCTGCTATCTCACTGAGCTGAATACCATGGGGACGAAGGGGAAACAGCCAGCATCTTCTCATATCCGCTAGTGCAAACAGCACATGGCAGCTTGTCAATAAAAGACCTTTTCATATCATTTATTACTAAACAGGTCCACCACCCTGCGCAGAACATTTGGGATGTCAGTTATGGCATTGTTTCACTTTGGGTTACCACTGCTTCATATATGGGCCTCCTAGTGTGGGTACTGGGCAGAAGAGATGGAGAAAGGATTAACTAAATAATTAGGGCCACCGAGAACAAAATGAATTAATCATGTCCTCTTTAGCAGCAGATTTGATAAGGGCTTATGTGTCTCTTAACTCTGGGAGAAGTGTTTTCAAAATAATTTATTAAAAGTTGCTTATCATTGCATTTTCCTTGAAAAGGAAGACCCACCTGCATTAAGTCTGCAAGGAGAGAACAATTTGCCTTCCTTTTCCATTTTCTTAGAAGCTCGTGAAGAGCTCCCGTGCTGAAATAGCACACACCCTAACAATGCAGGTTGTAGCGGACATGCACTGCTAATGTCCTGAAACAGATACCCTGCACATCATTTTTGAAGAAAAGAAAAAAAAAAAAAAAGAATACACTTTGACCATCAGTATCAAAATGTGGAAATTCTTTATAAGGGGATCTTATATTTAGATAATTCTGCTATGTACTCCCATAGTAGCCGGCACTTGGCTCTCAGCTCTCATGGCACTTACAATACTTTATCGCAATATCCTTTCTTCTTGTCTCTGTTCCTCAGCTAATGGGTGAAGCTTTTTAAGGACAGACACTAGCCTCCTGTTTGCCATCATATCATCTATACTGTGATAGGCACATATCAGAGTACTTAACATATTAAGTATTCAAGAGTATTTGTTGAGTGGGTAGATATTGAATAGTAAACTAGTATCTGAATGGTTTTATTCTGTTTTGATTGGATACAAAAATCACACCATCAGATACGTCTAAATCTCAGTCAGGAATGACTGCATAATTTGCAGAGTCCAGGGCAAAATGAGAATGTGGAGTCCTTTGTTCAAAAATTATTTAGATACAACTCAACATCCAAAAAACAAATAATCCAATTAAAAGGTGGGCAGAAGACATGAACAGACATTTCTCCAAAGAAAATGTACAGATGGCCAACAGACACATGCTTAACATCTCTCATCATCAGTGGAGTGCAAATTAAAACTACAATGAGATGTCACCTCATGCCTGTCAGAGTGACTAAAATAAAAAACACAAGAAACAGCAAGTGTTGGTGAGGATGTGGAGAAAAAGGAATGCTCATGCACTGTTGGTGGGAATGCAGTGGTGCCTTTTGAAGGTTCCTCAAAATAGGTAAAAATAGAGCTACTCTATAATTTGGTAATTGGTCTACTAGGTATCTGCCCCCAAAAATACAAAAAACATTAACTCAAAAGGACACTTGCACCCCTGTGTTTATTGCAGCAGCATTTACAATAGTCAAAGTATGGAAGCAACCCAAGTGTCCATCAATAGATGAATGGATTCTTTTTAAAAATGTGGTATATATATTTACAGTGGAATATTATTCGGCCACAAAAAATGAAATCT